GGCAGAGTTGATCAAATAATTATGTACTAGAAATATCAGACGACATTTAAATATTTTGAATTCATATTCAATTAAAATAAATCATTTGATCTGTACCAGGTAACAGTTCATACGATAACTGTACACCAACTGTCGTCAATTATATTAAATATATCCTATACTTAGTGATGGCATTTCAAATAGGTCTGGAATTCTTATAAATTAATGTAGATGCATAGGATCAATTTATATTAGAGCTAGGATGCTTTGTAATAAATTTCTGCTATATAACCTGCCCCAAATAAATTAGGATTACAAAAAAGAAAAAAACCTTTGGCTAATTAAATATCCACAATCAAAGTGATCATTCCCTATGTTAGTTTCCATATGTGGTGTTCTTACAAGGGTGGATCGAGACAGTTAAAAAAGGGAGGGTTAAGAAGAGTGGCGAAAGCAAAGTCTCAAGCCTCAAGCCTCGCTCTATTTCAGCAAATGAACCAAAAATGTAAACAAAAAACAAAAAGAAACAAACAAAAAGCAATATTAAATTCTTAGAAGAGGAAATGGAGGGGAAGGGCACCAAATACTGTGTATTAATGAATTAATTCACTTAGCAAGTGAAGAAACAACTAAACAAACAACAACCAAGACAAAACACAAGAAAAAAAAAACAGAAACATCCCACAGGAAAACTAAACCAAATTAAAACTAACTGACTGTACAAAATAATTAATTGTAACAAACTATTTGTCTAGGTAAAAACAGAAAATTAATGTCCTACACCCAGAAATAGAAACAAAAACTAAATAACTGTTCAAAATATTCAAATAACGAGTAGGAGTGTTTCATCAGGGGTTCCAAACACCGAGAAAACCGGTGTGAAATGTCATTTTCTTCTCAAATAGATCCTATATTTCCATATGACTGTTAACAGATATTTATCAACAAAGATTTGAAGGTAGTTCTTTCTAAATCCTTGCCTTGCTGTTTTGACCTAATGTCCCTTGAGTCAATGATATATGGGGGTTATTTGTTGTGGTAATTAGAAAGTGACAAAAAGTTATCAAATAGGGCATTATTACAATATTCCTCATTTATTGGCTGTTACCCTCATGAATTACCAATGAAGTTGAGAAAAACATGAAAAATCTTTACAAAAATATGAAACTGAGCTCAGAAATCAGTAATAATGACATATGCGATGATTATAACTTTTGTCATTTTCTAACTACCGCAACAAATAAACCCCTTATATTAATGACTCAAGAGAATTAGGTCAAAGTAGCATAGCGATGATTTATAAAAAACTACCTTCAAATCTTTTTGATAAATATCTGTTAACAATCATATGGAAACTTTAGGATCTATCTGATAGTAAAAAAATGCCACTTTACACCCAAAGATTTTCGACTTCTGCTATCTCAACAGAATCACCACTTCGTCCTCCTCTGTCTGGGTCAAGATTTTGTTCCAATTTATTGGCAGAAAGACCCAGTCCAGCATCTCTGATTGCCTGAATCAATCTCCTAACTGTGCTTCCCTCCTTCTCACCATATTCTTCTAAAAATTTTTGGATATTTATTGCTTCGTCTAGTGCTCTCCATGCCCTCGAAGCTTTGATTAATTTAGGGTCTTCAAGTTTCTCCAAGACGACACGCCAGTCAGCAAACCCTTGAATACAAAGGATATGTAATTGTCGATCAATCAATCAGTCAATCTGGTTATCGGGAAACGGGATCAAAGTGTAAGCTTAGAAGAATCAGAAGGGTTCCGTTTTCTTCCGATTTCGCTTGCGACTCTAGCGATTATGATCCAGTGAACACTAAGCAGAAGAAGCCACCAATCACAATGCCACTGCACGGGCATTTCGATTGCTTGATTCTTCGGCTGCAGCTTACGACTCTAGAGTATCTATGCATGCAGTCTTCACTGGATCGTCATTCAAAAACTTCTTTACCGTGTGTTAGCCCGTGACAAGAACAGTCAAAGTCCAATTGCTGCAGTGAACGCAACAAAAACCGTAGTTTGATCAGAACACGTGGTTTACGAATGCCAAAAAGCTAAAAAGTGCGCTCGCCAGGTTACAATGGAAGCGATAAGCTCGCCCGGTCACTAAGGAAACGGAATCTCGTTAAATTAAGTGGAAGACCTACGAACTGATTAATAAAAGTGCTAGGATAATTAGTCAATCATTCCAATCATCCATCAACCTCGCGGTCTAATGAATAAATCGTCGTTATAGTGTTTCTCAAATAATTATATATCTTTTTAAATTGCTTAGGAAAATAAAAGGCCCTTTAGTCTAAAACAGTTAAGATGAATGAAAGACGTTTACTTACCACAGCGTGAGCCACTGATTTCTTCGATTATGCTTTTCTTCTCGTCGATTTCAAGATCTTTTACAAACCGATCCAATCCTTAAGTAACAAAATAGTAAATTTTATGATTTTGCAACTAAATTATATCTAGGAGAAGGAAACAGCTTACGAATGATATGTAAGTGAACATGGTGACTGCCACAATTTCTACATTTTTCTCCGATTCGGTATTC